AAAATGATGGTAAAGCAAATCATGAGGTTCTCCAACTTGTGCGAGCACATAACTTATGGTCTATTATGTTTCATATTTGCTTTGAAATTTTCTATTTGGCATACCCAGCTGTAAATTCCTGGCTCCACCACTACTGACGGGGTCCCTCCCGGGCGAGAGCGTCGACTGTTTCTTTGCTAGTTTGCCTGAAAACTAGCCGGTTCTTCATCATGTAAGCACGTTGGTTATCCTTTGGTGGTTTGCTTATAAACCTCTCTGTTCTTCACCGCGAAAGTGTGACATCTTGCTGCATTTTTTGGTCCGTAGCGGCCTAGGCGTCTAAGGCCCTGTTAGTGTTTGATTCGGATCACTTCCGACGTCAAAATTCTAACATCACTGTGGCTTTCCATTTTAGGAAAATAAGTATTCCCGCTTTCTTTTTATGGTTGGTGAGCGTGCGCCTATTGGCGGTCCTTACCGATCAAATCCGACCACCAATTAAGACATAAAAAGAGGATAAATTGGCAAAGTTAAAACACATATGCATTTACTATTAACCAAGTTCCACATGTATTTGGAGAACATTATTTTGCAGGTCGCAAACACAAATACATGGAATAATTCACCGAGAGGCACTTTCCGACGCTAATTTGCGCAAAGGAACAAGGGAGACACCCATCAAATCAATTCCACTAGGGCAAAGCACCACCGGGGCTGATCCAAGCCTAGCCCAGAGCCTGCCACGCGAAGGCGGTGGCGAGGTGGCACGGTCAAGGGGCGCCTGACCCCCTGTCGACGCTCCTCTGCCTCTCCTTGCTCAGGCGGTAGCATGCTCCCATGCTGAGGCGGTGCAGCTCCTGCTTCACGCCAAATATAGCTCGTAGCACCGCCTTGAACCCTGTATAAATAGAGGGGTACCCCCCTCTCTCAACACATTTCACTTGAGCAATACCTCACTCTCTTTAGTTCTCTTTTACATTTTAGTAGTTGTATTAGAGCAAGGCAAAGCTACCTTGGAGAGCTTGGCTCCTTGGAAGAAGAGACCTTTGGGTATGAATAGAAATATGAGTTCTTCTAAAGTCATGCTATCATCTTAGATTTATAGTCATACTTATGAACTAGAGTATAGTTATTGTGTTATAATCTTGATATATGAACTAGTCTATAGTTTATGTGTCATGAGAGTAGCACACTTAACTTCATGCTTAAACACTCATATAACTTATATAATCAGGATTAGAGCAAAGTTGAGGTGGCGGTTCATCGTGTCATTAGGTGTGCCCAAGTTCTTTACCTGTCGATCCGTAGGCTCAGGGACCCGGGGGAATTTGGATAGTTTCTGTATACGCAAGCGTGGTGCTTGGGTATGGAGAGATAGGTGAATGCATTGTCGCTTTCCACGGTTGAGGGGTAGGCGGCAGGTGGTGACAGCCGTGTCCGTCCCTTGTAATCTCCCACATTCGACTGGGTGTAGGAGTCTAAATTGTCACATGAGGTTGCTGGCAGACCAGTACTCGGTCGCCTCACGACCTGCTTTACACTTAGCCCTAAAACTAATAATGTAATTTATATGATCATTAACTAATCTTTGTATGACTATACTAGACCAATGTCTGCTCGTTTTAGGATTATTCTTTTATTCGTTCTTGTCTATTTTATCCTTTGAGGAATACCAAGTGTGTGTCCACTATCTTGAAATCATTGTCTTTACCCTTGCTATAAACATTGGTGTACTTGCAAGCATTATTATTCAAGTTCATATCCATACTAGACTCTTAATCAAATGCCTTCCTTTACGAAAATATAAATAATGATACCATGAATACTTCTGGGTGAAATGCTACAATGATAGCTCCGTGCGCTTGCGGATAAATATCTAAAATTGTTAAGGAACTATCAAGGCTATTACTTAGTGGCATTGCTAATTATTAGTGATGACGCTAAGAAATACCAACAAGTACTTCTGCAGCAGTTGCTGGGGATACAAACCTAATAGCTACGCTAAGAAATGTCAATAGCGCCTCCCTCACAGTCCTCCGCTCCCTTTCTCTAACGGTGACATCAATGTGATGCAGGTACAATAAAAGTGAAATATTTATTTTCAAAATGTTATAGCTTTTAAATGGTGTATCTATTTTTAATTTTGTCTGCACCGCTATATTTTACGCGACGAGGCGAACAAAACTAGACCCCACTTGCATATGTTTTGAAGAAACTTTTTCTAGTAACAATTTATGTATATTAACTTACAACATATAACTTATATGCCAAAACTTATATATATAAGTTATTATACACAACTTATGTACAAAAGTTATTAAACACAAAGGAACGAATTAACTTATAACTTATGTTAAAACTTGGAAACACAAAAGTTATTAAACACAAAGGAACGAATTAACTTATAACTTATACCAAAACTTGAAAACACAAAAGTTATAAAACACAACTTATGTACAAAAGTTATTAAACACAACTTGTCGGGTCATAACCCCATGGTGTCTCAAGGCACCGATTAGTTAGCAGGCCACGCGGCCCACAATACACCAGCTAGCGAAGGCCCGAATGAATGAGGCCCAGCTAAGACAAGTGAACCAGGCCAGACGCTAAGGCCAGGGTCAGCCACGACCCATTCCTTCTGCCTTAGCCACACAGCACTCGAGAGGCGCACGACCTCTTCCCTGTCACGACCCTTGAGAGGAACAGGGAGAGGTCGGGCCCGGCCAAACGTGCCTGCTCTGACAAGAACAAACACACCGCACTAACCCTGCAAGGACCGAGGGGACAGCAATCACCTCGGTCCGGTCAGACCCCATCCCTGTGCCATGCTGCATAGACAAGACAACACCGCCCAAGGCGATGACGACTGGTACGATAACCACCGGACAAATACGGCACGGCAAGACGCGTGTACGATTCCACCCACTACGGGATGGGATCAACGACGAACGCCTTGACTTAGAGGCCATCCAGACCGGTGGAAGCCACGACCCCAACAATCGGGATCGTGGCCCTCAGCTCCTCCTGCCAATAAGGCGATCGACGACCTGAGGACGGCTACCAACTCCTGTACGACCCCTAGGAAGCCATGAGGCAATGACAAAGACCATGGTGGAGACCACGTCGCACAGGACAGCTAGCGAACCTCCACCGTGCCAATAGTGCCACCACGGTTAGCACAGTAGCACCACGCAACACCATGTCACGACGTGGCTACAAGACCGTGACGGCAACCACACCCGGATGTGTACCACAAGGCGGCATAGCTTGCAAACCAAGTTAGCTAGGACCTCCCTCAGGCTCACGACCCTTCGATCGGGAGAACCTCCGTCTCTGTACACGCCCTGGCCCCAAACTCTATATAACGGCAACCAGGGCACCCTCTCCAAACATTCGGATCCTCTACCATTTCACTCATTCTCCTTCGTAGCAGGGCTCTTGAAGCCCCCCTCCGAGCAGTCCATCTCCTAGCTCTAGCTCTTCTTCCTCTTTTCACCCCTCATTGTAAGAACTTCAGAGTATTCAAGCAAGGAACACGCACTCGATCATCTCTGAAACTAGACATAGGGTCCGACCTGAACCAGTATAAATTCTCGTGTCTTTTGGATGCTACCATCGTCTTCTTAGTACAGCGCGGCAATCTTATAAATTTACTAGTCCGATTTACAAAACACCGACACAACTTGTGTACATAAAGTTATTCTATACCACTTATGCACATAAGTTATTCTATAACTTATCAACGCCGCCAAAAAGTTATTAGAAAGAAAAAATATATAAAAGAAGGGTAAAAAGTACAAAAAATAAAAATAATACTAAAACACACATAAAACAAAACACAAAGGAACGTGATTAAGTTATAACTTATACTAAAACTTAGAAACACAAAAAAAATATGAAACACAACTTATTTACAAAAAGTTATCAAACACAACTTGTGTACCTAAGTTATTTTATACAACTTATGTATATAAGTTATTCTATAAAACTTGCCAACAATGCTAAAAAGAAATAAAAAAAGAAAAATAAATAAAGTACTTGGATTACGAGAGAAAAATGGGGGGAAAAAAAGAAACATCCATCCGGTATTCACATGTCGTGGAACAAACCGGACCCATAGGCACCGAATGGCTCGACTCGAGTGGTAGAAGAAAAAGAAGGAAAAAGAAAAAGAAATGCACGCCACTAATTTAAGTCCGGTCGATCCGCACGGACGGTGTCACTCATTCGTTCGCTGAGCAAGAATGTAGTGAACGATCGTGATATTGGAATTTGGGCTAGAGGTAGGACTAGGATGACAGCCAAAGCGAGCAGGATGGTTGATGGTTCTTAGCCTTTAGCCCTGTTTATTTTGTCTCAAAACTAAAGGCCTGTTTGGAATTACCCCTCTAAACTTTAGAGGTAGAGTCTCTAAAATATGTGGTTTAAAGTTGGCTTCAAATTTTAGCTCATCTCACATTAGATCTTTAGAGCTCAAAACTGAGCTAAAGTGCTCTAAAGTTTATCTCTCTCCGGGTGGGTCCATTCGTTAACACAAGCAACCCACCAAGACGCCATATTAGCGTATTGTAAACAAACTATTTCTATCTTAATATAAAGACGTATAAATATTTTGCATTATAAAAAAAAAGTACTCTATAGTTTAGAAGAGGGGATCCATACAGGGTCTAAGAAGATTGGGAGGGATTAAATCCCCTGCAAGCAAAATCCTCCTGGATCCAATCCCCTCATCTAGGGATGAAACGAAAATGCCTCAATGTGATGGGCTATCAATCGCCATTCAAAAAGTGGTTCTGCGCACCAGCTGCGCGCGGAGCGGTTTCTTCATGACGGTGGTGAACTCGCGCGTCTCAGCCAAATCCACCTGGTCACCTTGCACCTCTTTCCATTCGAATTCCCTGACCAAGTAGGCCACGAAGTACTCCAAGTGAAGCATGGCGATTCCGAGCCCGGCGCAAATTCGGCGCCCGGCGCCGAAGGGCATCATCTTGATCTCCCTGCTGCCAGTCACGTCCACGCCCTCACCGTCGCCGCCTGCCAGGAACCGCTCCGGCACGAACTCCATGGGCCTTGTCCCACTCCCGCTCGTCCCATCCCATCTCTGCCACCGTGAAGTTCACCGTCGCGCCCTTCGGGATCAGGTACCCGCCGACCTCCATGTCCTCCGCCGCCTTGTGCGACAGCACGAAGTGTGCAGGTGGGTGCCGGCGCAGTCCCTCGAGGACGACGGCCTTGAGGTACGGCATCTTGTGCGTGTCCTCCTCGGTGACCTCCCCTTGCTCGTCGCCGCACGTCGCCTTGATCTCGCTGTAGAGCTTCTCCTGTGCGTCCGGGTTCTTGACCAGCTCGGCCATGATCCACTGCAGCGCGGTGGACGTCGTGTCGGTGCCGGCGGTGAGGAACTCGGAGCAGAGGTTGGACATCTCGTCGTCAGTGAGCTCGCGGTCCCCCTCTTCGGGGAGCCTGATGTCGAGCAGCGTGTCCACATACGAGTGCTCGAACGTGGTCGCCTCCTCTTCTGGCGCCACCGCGGCACCACCTTGGTTCTTGACCTGCTGCTGCTTGCGCACTCGGCACGCGTCGATCAGTGGCACGAAGAGCTCCTTCTGCCGCTGTCGAGCGGCAAGCCCCTCCTGGAGGCGGCCGCGGAAGACGATCCTAGTAAGTGCCGGCCAGAACGCGAACACGCTCGTGTTCTTAGCCACGAACACGCTCGTGTTCTTAGCCACGAACATGAGCCAGCCGTACTGTGCGGACGCGATGGCGCGCACCGCGGGCTCGTCCAGCCGCTCGCCGAAGCACATGAGCACCAGGAGGCAGAACATGGCGTACCGGAACGCCTCCATCACGGGGGGCGGCGCCTGTTCTTTCGCCTGAGCCTCCTCGGCCTCCCGCCCGAGCTTCTCCGCGAGCACGCGGCGCACCCACGCGCGCGCCGGCGCGAACAGCTTCACCCGCGACGGGTGCAGCGTCTCGGCGACGAGGTTGCGGCACAGGAGGCGCCACACGGGCCCGTAGCTGGACCGCGAGATGGTGCTGCCTGTCTCCCCCAGGAGCGCGCGCGTGACCGCGGGGCGGTCGGCGAGCGCGACCCCGCTCTCGACCAGCGCCGCGTGCGCGATGTGGCGGTCAGTGACGAAGATCGTCAGGTTCGACCCTGCCCGCAGAGATACGAGTATTGCCTCAGCAACAGCAGGTTGCCGAGGAACGGCAGACCTGGTGGGCCCGGAGGGAGCCGGGCGCCGTTCTTGCCCTTACGGTGCCCGTGCTGCTTTCCAAGCAGGAGGGCGGCGAGGACTAGGAGCTGTGTGGCCATGGCCAAGTCTTCTTGCTCTGCTTTGCCTCGTCGGTGGTCGGTCTAATCTGTGGTCTGTACCGAGCTGGAGAGGAAGGGAAACCTCACTCTCACAGTGCCTATCGACGTCATGGCTGATGGAAATTGATTCTTTTGGCATCTTTTTCTTGAACGAGTAGAGGAGACGACACCGGCATATGGAGTCTGCACCAAAACAAGATAGCGTTGGAAATTGATTCTTTTGGCATCTTTTTCTTGAACGAGTAGAGGAGACGACAACGGTCGGAAATCCGCACCAAAACAAGATAGCGTTGTTTACTTAAAATGGTGTGAACAATGAGCAGTCCTCATTTCAAAAAAAGAAAAAAGAAAACAGTCCCATGCATACAAGAACATGGATCAGATCGTCGTGTACGTGTACCCACCGGAAAATCTCTCACAGGAATAATTTACTACTAGTATTTTGGGCGGAGATGAAGGGAACTTTGACAGAGCTGAGATCTCTAAACTTTCACCAGTCAACAGGTATAGGGCATGCTAATCACATTTCGCAGCAACCTCAAGTGCAAGGGTCTAATAAAGGCAGTTCGATTCCTGCAAAAGTCGTATGCATTCCTCCTTGTTTCAAAAAGCAAACAGTGGCTACAATGAAAGTTGTACATACCAGTTTAGGTCATCCAACAACAGACAGACAAGGATCAACAATTTGCAACTCATTTTCATCTCCGTTACCAGCACACGCGAGCATACATAGAGTAGCTCTACTCCAGATGATGTACATTCCAACACCACCAACTCAACAACACTCTAGTTCCTACTTAACAAAAAAGGCTAGTTCCTACTTACCGACAACACTCTAGGTCGAACAAGACGGCAACATGATGTACAAGTACATAGAAAGTTGTACATAGCAGTTTAGGTTATCCAACAAACAGACAAGGATCAGCATTTTGCAACTCATTTTCATCTCGATTACCAGCACACATGAGCATACATACAGTTGCTCTACTCCAGATGTTGTACATTCCACTTCCACCGACACCAACTTAACACTATTTACTCAACAACACTCTAGTTCCTACTTACCAAAAAGGGAAGCTATATAAGCTTTTGCACAGCACAGCTAGGGGCACATGATTATGCACAATGCTTCTGAGACCTGGGCCCGGCTTAGTGTTGGTGGGGCTCAGCAGGGGCCAGAAGTCAGAAGCACCACGCATAAGGATGGGCTGCTGAGATTACATGGCACAAACATGAGATAGCATATTAAGACCTGACCTCTGCAGCAACCTTGCCCCCGTCTGAAATCCTGAGGTTGCAAAGTAGTGCATCACGCCCTGTAAGCACGATCTGGAAGAAGTCACCCACCCGCTTCGACAGCGAGTCCAACCCCAACCGAAGCCTTTCAGCGCATTTCGACATGCTGGAGATGCAGTTCAGCAGCTCCTCTCTCCTTTCCAAGCAATTGATCTCAGTGCCAACACCAGTGGCCTGCTTTGTGTTATCATCTCGGTTTCCTCTGTCACTTGTTTTCTCAGGCACCATCACTTCTTTTGTATGGCCCATAGTCTTGGCATCCTCCTTGATGTCAGCTGTATCCATTCCTCCTTCTGTAGTAATACTTTGCAGTGTGATCACTTCATGCTGACAGCTAGTGTCCTCAGCCATCTTAAGATTATCCACATGGCCTCCTTCCTGGGCTGGCAGGACCACTTCCTTTGAATGACTAACAGCATGAGCCAGGCTGGAATTCTCCTCTTCAAGCTGAGCAGCACAAGTCAATGTATGCAGCTGTCTAGCACATACCTCAACATCCTCCAGCTCTTTTACAGCTGTAACACTACCTCTGGATAGTTGACTGCTAAGTTCCCCACTTATGGCCTTATGAAGATCAATGAAGGCCGTAGACCAACCAAATTTCTCAGGGACATCAAACTCCACCAGTGGCTTGAATCTACCTGACAGAACGGCTACAAGGACGCTGCAGATTAAGACTGTAACGGCCTCGATTCCATACAATGCCCGCATGAGCACTTTCCCCTTAGCAGAATGCTTAACCTTCATCAGGCAAAGGTTCCCAGAAAGCTCCTGTAGCGCTGCCAAGCAGCTATCAAGCCTCAGAGACCTTTCACTTGCTCGCTCGATCCATTCCTTAAGCGACACCTCAGCTTTCTTGAGCTGCTCCTGGGATGGCATGTCGCTCCCAGAGTCCAAGACATTCAGGAGATATCGCACAAGCAGCTGCCCTTGATCCAACCGAGAGAGCTCTGAGCTCAGCGCAATGCAGATGTCCAGCAGCTTCACACTGCTGTTCAGGTAAATGTCCACCCACTTCTCGTCCCAGTCAGATAAGGGCAGCTCAAGCTCAGTAATCAGGGTGGCTATATTGGTGTGCAGCTCCGATAAGCAGTCCACTGCGAGCTTCATCCATGATAGTGTGAGCACCTCTGAGGTGTCCTCTGGCTTGAGCTTCCTCAAGCTCGAGGCCAGGCCATCCTCGTACGAAGCGAGGAGCTCGGTGAGCTTCGGCGACAGGTGGGCTCCTCTTGGGAAAATCATCCTGAATGGATTCCCCACGGGAAAGAAGGACCTGTTGCCATCGTGCGCGTGACTCATCTCCTCTATAATCAAAGCAAGGCCCAGATTAGGAATTCACGTCACAAACACAACCAGACATAAGGAAATCCTTACAGTAGAAAATAACACGATTGCTATACATGGTATTGATAATAGACACTACACGTGATGGTAATAGGCTAATAGCACTCCGCTCCGCAGAGAGAAAACTGCACACGCTTCGTATCTTTTCTGGAAGAATATTTCTCGATTCAATTCAGGGACAAGCCTTCACCCAAAAGCTACAATACCATAGTGATACTCCCAGCACACTGGACCGCACTACATCATCAAGCGCGGTACTCCTGGAAGTTTGCTACAGTGTTTCTGATGCACCGCGTCCGCGCTCATACCCTAAACGCACTAGACTAGCAAAAAAAAAAAATTGGGGAATATCAGAAACGCCGCTTACACCACATGACGATAGACAGCATCAGAACCGCAGAATCCATTGACATAGGCGCAGCAATCGAACAAATTAGAAGCTACTGCGAACATACTGCCCACAGATTCCCTCGAGGCCTCTACTTATTACCCCCAAAATTTGGGCGAAATCGACCCCCAAGACCCCAGCAAGCATCAGATCGGGAGTTAAAGCTACAGCATGAGTAAATGGATCCACATACCTCGATTTGGGGACGCGCGCGGGCTCGATTCGAGGTTGATGAAGAGGGGGTTTGCGTGGCTGTGTGCGCTTGAAGCCTTCGCCTTTCGGTGAGGGTGCGACTTGCGAGAGGGCAGGCTGGTGAATGTAGAGAGAAAAGGGGAAAGCTAATGTGAACGCTGGAAAGTTCGAGACGGGCGTTGGTAGGAGATATTGCTGGGTTGGGTTGGGTTGGGCCCCGATTGTAGCGACCCTTTGGGCTTCGATTTTTTTCGCCGCGGGGCCACCAGGATCCGGGATCCGGGTTGGGCGGCAGCTAGACTGCTGGTTGTGTTTCAAAAAAAAAAAAAAAAAAAAAAAAAAACTGGACGGCTGGTTACCATTTGGTCGGCGTGTTTAGGTCCATTGTTTATGGTGTTTCGCGCAGTGGCAAGTCATTTTCTCGCCGTGATTTGGTGACGTGTCCCCGCTTAATTTCTCGGCTGATACATTCGAGCCCCGAGATTGTCTGAATTTAAAGAGAGACTGGCATTTGTGTACCTTGATTTTGAAGCCTTGTTTTTTTAAAACACTGTTCTTTTTTCTTGCGCACGTATGTTTCTTCCCATGCTACTATCAGGCCAATCTCAATCGAATTTTATTAGAGTTTCATAGATATTAAATATGCTGACACGACACTGTATTGATAAAGAGAGATGATGAGAATTTCGTAAGAATATATAACTCGTTCGGCTGGTAAGTAGAACAGTAGATTTTGGATTTTTTTGGATGATTGAATAGTATTCTGTGAGAGAGAACAAGCTGGAAGTAGTATAGATAATTTTATGGGGATGAAACTATTCTGTATTGTTTTCAAAAGGATCTGTCTAGGTGACATTCAGTTATTTTGACTTCTCCTGTCAACAGAATTTTTCTCATACACTTATACTGTCTTCAAGCTATATTTACACTGACTTATTACTATATTTATATGGACTTCTTCAGTGTAATTTATTGTACGTAGAGGTGTAATTTGAGGATAATACAAATATATGCTAAAAATTTCAAAAAAAATTACAAATTATTTCTATAGATTCCATATATATATGTATCAGAGAAATATATGTCAAATTATTCACAAATATTATTAAATTGTTCATAAATTATTCACAAATTAAAAAAAACTCGCAGCTACGGGGTTGTATTGTGCATGGTACAGGAAGTACGACACGTCAGGCGTTGCTTGGCCTTGTGTTAATTCTCGAGTCTCGATCGTACGTACTCCTAAGCAGCACGGCAGATGGATTCGGAAGACGGCAACAGGCACGCATGTACACGTACGTCAGCAGTGTGAGCACTCAACACAGCACGTACGCCGCCCTAGAAATCGGTTGACAGAAAAGCCTAAATCACCCCGTTGACATATAGCAATACTGTTTCAAAATATTAATGCGTAAGAAACTGGGCCATAAAAGCTCCATTGACACTGTCCTCATCTCTACCAGACAATGGCGGACTACGGCGGTGAGAGTATAACGACACTATAGTGGTTAAGTGTAACTCTCCACTAAATACTATAACATGAAATTTAAAACATTCTTCAAAGTAACTTTGTGAACCTCGATTGTAATCTTTCTTTCTTTTTTTTCTTTTTGAATGTGGAACCATTACGAGTATTCTCATTATGAGAAAATTGTATATTTGGGACTTCCATCATAACGCATCGCAGTCTTATGACTCCGATCGTCGATTTCATAAAAATGACCCTCAAAACATTGGACTCTTGATTTTCATAACATTATGTGTATTTTATATCTTTTCT